GGCCTCTGGTGGCCGAACTTGGGAGGCAGGCTGAGAGGTGGATATATCGCTGTACTTCGGCGGTTTCGGCACGTTCGAATGCGCTGGGTCTCGGAGGGGGCCCCGACGACTTCGACGTCGTTGAGGGCTTTTGCAAGGGCTTCAACGGGATCCCCGAGGAGCTCACGCAGGGCTCGTCGTGGGTCACCGTGATCTCCAGGAGGCACTGGAACCCGCCCAAGAACATTTTAGAGCACGAGGGTGGCGCGCTGCGCGACGCGGTTCGGCACGCCACCCGCAACGTTTCGCTTCATCACCATCGCCTTCTATTTCTCGTAGATAATTTACATGTGGCTCTGGCGGCTGGCAAGGGTCGAGGCCGCAAGCCTACCCTTCGGCGACCCTTGCGGAGGATCGCCGCGCTCGCGCTGGCCACCAACCTTCGGTGCTATGTGCGGTGGATACCTTCTGAGCTGAACGTTGCGGACGGGCCATCTCGCCATGGCTTCTTCCACGGCAAAAGCTTCGAGGAGGCGCGCCTCTCCTCGGCTGACCGCTCTCTCCCTGAAGCGGGCTGCTGCGCCGATCGTAGCGGCCCAGGTGGCGGTTCACCCTCGGGCCGAGGAGTTGTTCGGGGGGGCCCTCAGCTTCCTCGAGAACTCAGCGGGGTCGGACCCTGCTCGGGCTCGGTGCCGCTGCCTCGCCCTGCGCTTCCTGGACTGGTGGAGCTGGCGCGAGCTGAACCTCACCGCCGCCAGCCAGCTGGACAGCGTCCTCGCGCGCTCCCTGACGGACTTGGTCCTGTACGGTTTCGACACAGCGACGGGGGGGATGACGGTCGCAGCGCTGCGCCACTTCCTGACGCACATCCTAGTCGGGAAGCGGCCACTCCCACGGTCGGCGCGAGCCCTCGATGGGTGGCGCCGCCTGGGTTCGCGGCAGCTGCGCCTGCCTCTTCCTCGCTCGGCCGCGGTGGCAGTCGCAGGCTGGCTCATCTGGACGCTGGTCTCCCCCGCGTACCTCAAGCCGTCGAAGGCCTACAGGCTGCGCGTGGGCTCTCTGGTGCCGCCGATCCCAGGGTCGGGCTTCAACGCGTGGGGCATCGTCGTGAACGACGCGAAGTCGGGCCGCCCTGGCCAGACGGGGGTGATGGGCGAGTCGGTGCTGGACGACGCCCCCGAGCTCTGGCCCGTGCTGCACGCGCCGACGCTCAACGCGCCCGCGACCGCCAGTCTCTGGAACCTCAGGCCCGCCGTCGTGCGCGCGCTGCCCCGCCAGGCCTTGCACGAGCGGGAGCTGCAGATGGAGTCTCCATCTGTGTACACCCTCCGTCATGGGGGGGGGGGGCCTCGCGCGACTTACTCTTGGGTGCTCATACGATAGCGGGGGCCAAGGAAAGGGGGAGACGGATATCAGACAAATCGTTGGGGAGGTACGGCACGAGGCCTCGCATGCAGCAGGGGATCAGGGACCTCCCGCCTCGGATCGCCGAGTTCGGCGGGCAGGTGTTCGCGAGGCTCTCGGAGCTGATCGAGATCGGGTTCGTGAGGGGCAGCTGCCCGTTGCCGGCGCCGCCCCAGCCGGCGCCCGCCCTGCCGCGGGGCGCGAGGCGGGCGCCCGTTCTGTCCAGAAAGTAGGTTCGCGCATGCGTGCTGCCTTCCGACGTGCCTTTGCGCGGGCGCCCCGTCGCCGTCGGCTCGTTTTGCCAGCGGTTGGGCCCCGCGGAGCCCCCATTTGCAAAGCCCTGCGCCGTCGCGGTTTGGGTTGTCCCTCGCTTGGTGCAGGTCGGCGCGTGGGCCTTGCGCTGTGCGAGCAGGGCGTCGTCGATCGACTCCTTGGGTGGATTCGTTCGTCGGCGGTCTGTGCTTGCTGGCTCTCTTTGCCGCGCGGGTCTTGGATCGAGTCGGGACCCCCGCCTGTCCGCACTGCGTCTGGCCCTTGGGGCCGGGCCGCGCCTGCGAGCCCGCGGCTGCAGCTCCCGACGCCGGTAACCGACATTGTCGAGATGCGCGCAGCCCTCAGAGTCATTCGTGCCTGCATCGACTTATATGTTCCTGTTTGTTTTGAGCGCCCGCGTGCCATCTTCATTTTGGCGGCGCCTGAGTTTCGGACTCTAGTCAGCCTCCCGTCGTTTCTTCAAGTTGACCTGGACCTCTGCCAACTCGGAGCGGCAACCCGCTCGGCCGCGCGAGTGTTCTGCTGGCGCTGCCCTCAGCTCCAGCGCCTCAACGCTCGCTGCAGTCTGCGTGGCAAAGTGTGCTCGGGACCGGGGCGACCTCATTTACATTTCGACGGCCGCACGGCCAGAGGCGTGGCTCGCCGCTACACAGCTGCGCGCTTCCCCGTCCGAGCTGCAGAGCTGGTGGCCGACTCCCTCGCTGAGGCTATAGATGATCTGTCTCGGTCCAGGGTGAATGGTCTCTGCGGCCTTGGGCCATGATGTAGCGCTACACAGTGTACGCCTGTGCTGCCTGCAGTGTCTGTCGCCACTCGTGGTCGCGATGCATCGCTTCTTGCCATCGCCACCGTCAGCTTTTCTAAAAAGGAACGCTATGGCCACGGCGACCCCCCTCGGCATGGTAACAACTTTAGTGCGGAGTGTGCTGGGACACGGTTTCAGCGGCCGCACATTTGCAATGTTTGTGCTCAAGCTCCCAAGCCCACCCGCCCTCGCTTGAGGGTTTAATTTCGCAATTCGACGTCTGTGCTGCCTGCAGTGTCTGTCGCACTCGTGGTCGTGATGCGTCGCTTCTTGCCATCGCCACCGTCAGCTTTTCTTAAAAGGAACGCTATGGCCACGGCGACCCTCCTCGGCACCATCATCATCATCATCATCATCAGCAGCAGCAGCATCATCATCGCCATTGTCATCGTCATCATCATCATCGTCATCATCATCATCATCATCAACCTAACATCGCACTCCCCGGGAAAATCCTTGATTATCCCCGCCATACCCCCGAATTTTATTATCTGGGGGGGGGTCTTATCGCCCGCACTGGGTTAGCATGCGCAGTTGAGGTGGGGTAGGACGCCAAACCACCCAGCGGAACAGCTGGCGAACAGCTAGGTCCCGAACAAGGCCGCCGCTTCCACTTGCATGGGCGCGCCGAACCACAGGCCAGCCATGGCGGCAGGCAGTTTCGTGGCCCCGTCGCGCAGCATGGCGCACGCGTTGTCAAGGAGGGACCGGAGGGATATCGCCAGAGGACTCCCAGACCTTCCAACGTCGAGGCTGCTCTCACTGGGGCGCCTAGGATGTCGCCGCGAGCGGCAGCGTCCGGGGGCGCGCCGCCGGCCGCCATGACCGCGGGCCCTTTGTCCGGCGCTCCGCTGGAACTGGTGGTGGCGGTGCTCGCAGAATGGGCCCATACCGCCGCACGCCGCGGCCATGGTTTGCTCGTCTTCGTGGGCGGCGAAGGAATCGTCGACGAACTGGAGCTGCAGGAGCCGGAGCTCCGCGGCGGCCTCGCCCGTTTCGCCAGGGTTCCGAAGACATGCGTGCCCGTGTGCCCCCTTTGGTCCACGCTGTTGTCCAGCAGGGTAATGGCCGGGGACACCAGGGCCCCGGCCGAGTGCGGACTTGCTCGGCGGCCAGCCAAGCTCTGGCCTGCAGGCCGACGGCCCGCAGTTGTACTTGCACCGCGCCGCGCGATGCGGGGTCGTAGGCATCGACGAGGTCGGCCTAGAGTAAGAGGGTACGGGTTACGATGTTCCAGCCTATATATAGAAAATTGAAGGTTTTCACGTGTCGGGCCCTGGGAGGCGATACTCGCTCGATACTGTTTCGACAGTTTTCGGGGTGTTCGAAATTATGTCTGGGATGTGGTCCTGAAGTGCGATGGAAGCAACATAAGGTACGGGGCCCGGCGGTGACGCAAAGCTGCAGCACAACGAGGAGACCAACCGCCATCGACATCGGGTCGTACAGTCCCCTGGGCCTCGCCTGTCAGGGGTTAGGGGTTAGCGTTACCGCTGACATTTGGCTCCAGTGCGAGTTGTCTTTTCAGAAAAAAATAGCCTCCCACCGGATCTCCAGGAAGAAAAGGGGGAGGGAAGAGGGGGAGGGAAAGGGGAGGAGAGAGGAGGAGGGGGAGGGGGTGGGCAACAGCAGGAATGGGCGGCGGCGGAGGAGGAGCAACAGCAGCAGTTGCTTCCCTCCTCCCACCTCCTATCTATAGTAGGTGACCCTCAGGAGCGGCAGAACGGGCACAGGAAAAGTCTGCAAGAACCAGTGATGCGATTCCTATCGAGACGATTTCTCCGTCAAAAAAGAGGGCATAATTTAGTCGTATTGTTGCGATCGTGATGGTTCCAGGAGAACATTATCGAATTGCCACTGCACCGGCGGGGCCGCCTCGAAAGGCGACGCGCGCGCCACGCCAAGCCTGTCATCGCGACCGGCATCACGAATTTGGAGAAGAACCAGCTGCACAAATAAAGGGCGCAGGAAATGAACATGTCCAAAGAAATTCAATTGCGCGATCAGCGCAGATGGCACATATTACATGTTCTGGCCATGTTGGAATCAATTCCAGAACAAGAAACTCACCCAGATACACACTACGCATAAAAGCATATTGGGCGTGATAGCTCCAGCTGACTGAAATGATGGTCAAAGAGCCACTTGATGGCCAACGACCGCTCGACGAGAGTACTAGTCCTGGAGCGCAGGCGGAAGAAGAGCAGGCGTAACCCTGGCCATGGCGCCGTAAGGTTTCGGGTCGGGTCGGCCAACCATTCGCCACCCCCTTTCATAGGTTGTGATGTTATCCTCTTCTCCTTGTCCTCCACCCCTCCCTCGTCCGATCGCCTCAAGGTTTATCCGCCTCCCAATACAAGCCCACATGTTTCCCCTCCCACACACCTCTCGTGCCAATCCTCTGCCTCCCTTCCTCTCACCTCCCTCCCGCAGTCCCATCTCTTCTCCCTCACCCTCTCCTGTTCCTCCTTTCATTTCCCGTTTCCCGCTGTTTCCTCCTTCCCCTTTCCCCCGCTTCATGTCCCACCCCCCGCCCGAGGAGCTCCTTTCGACTTGAGCCAGCTCAGTGCTCACGCGCCTGGGATCGTCCGCCTGGTGGGCCGGTCATTCGTGTCCGTGCGCAAGGAGGCGGGCTCTTGTCTTGCCGCCTCGTTTCGCTTGGCAGCAGAAAGGGCAGTAGGAGAAGGGGGACGGAGAGAGATGAGGAGGAGGAGGAGGAGGAGGAGAACGGTGACGACGAGGTGAAGCAGGAGGAGGAGAAGAAGGCGGGAGGAGAGAGTACGCTACACACGTAAGGAATAGAATACAGAAGTGCATGAGGTCCGTGAGGTCACACGCCTGAGTAGCCGTTGACTCTTCGTTGCTTATCCCCATCAGCCCATCCAAAATCGATTTCCAGACGGGTTCCTATGATCAGCGGAGCGCAGAAACGTACAGCGATGCAAAGACATGGGGGCAGCAGCCCTATCACCTGCACACTCCCTGCTCACATCTTCTTCAGTAAGGTTCAGGGCTTCCCGTAGGCGCGTTGCGAAGGCCCTCATGATTGGCTCCTGAGTTTTTCGTGCCGGCAGAGGGCTCAAAGAAACCAGAAGTCTGCCATACAGGCCTTCGCTTGGAGCCCACTATAGACGCTATTTGGGTTCATCCTGAGCCGTCTTGGGGCCATCTTGATGCCTCAGAACCTCATCAGAGCGAAAATTTCGAGAAGCCCAAAGTGATTGAAAGATTTTCAGTGATTGAATGGTTCTGGCAGGTTGGGTGCATTGTTGGGAGGTTCCGTGGCCACTTGTAACCGTTTGGGGCATCTTACGGCATCATGAGGGAACGCTTAACGCCATGCTAGCCCGATTTGTTCACTGTTGCCGGCCATGGGACACGGTGGAATCATCTTTAGCTTCACTGCTCGCCCCCTCCCCCCCATTCGTCCATCCAGTCCGCTCTAGACCCAGGTCCAGTAGGCAGAGGAGTTAAATTCCTAACGGGAACGCCTCAACTTATCTCGTTCATTGCCATCCGCCCTCCCACCGCAGAAGTAGCACCTGTGACTCATCCTGGATAGAGGTCGGCATCGGATGGAGAGTCATGGGACACAAATAAAGACGCCAGATGCGCGACGCTCGCAAGGTGCGCCACGCGCACCAGGTGCCCGCAGAGGGCCAAGCGTGCCAGGCGCGCCTGGTGCACCGGATTCGCCAAGTGCGCCACGTCCTGCAGAATGCGCAAGGTGCGAAAGTGTCCGTGACAGCACACATCGGTCAATCTGTCGGCACCCCGACCGTCCTTGGCAAAATCCATTGCGAACCTGCGGCAGGGCGGTCAGCATGGCAGTCTGTGCATCCGCAAGTGGTTTGCATTTGATTTGACATAAGTTGTAGTGAGTCAGCGCGCAGTTGGTAATTATGATCTTCTGTGATGACTGACACAGCAATGCAAAATGATCGCGGGCCGATTTTCACAAGTCAGAAACCGCACTCGCCGATACTTGGCGAATACGGTAGGTTCGCGTCGTGTCGACCGGCGGCGACCCCGACGCCGGCGTTCAACCTTGAACGCCGGCGGAGGCCCAGAATCGGTCGATGTTGAACGATCGGACGTTACGGAAATGGCCGATCGTTCAAGGTTGAACGATCCAGCGCGGTGTCAGAAACCAACGCCGGGGTCGACACGACGCGAACCTGCCGTATACACAGCGGTGGTTGATACACAGCGGGTGTTCTTAGTTTCCATGATTGGTGACTCGTTGAATTGATCAAGCAGGCCGACCATGTGGATGTCGATTTGTTTTTTCTCAGCGGGGGAGAAGTGCTTGGGACTGTCGACCACAGCGACGAGCAGCTGCTGGTCGCGTCGAGGATCAACGCAGCCACCTTTTTGCACATCTGTTCGGACGCCACCAACATAAACGGAGAGTGGCGGTCAGACCTTTTGAGGGTACGGAAATCTTGTTGCATGAGGCAGTGTCGGTTTTCCTAGCTCAGGTGATAGGGTTTGAACCAGCAATCCCATTTGCCAAATAATTGGGCAGTTGTTTACAATGACAGTTGTGTTGTGCCACTAGTGCTGTGCCCAGATCATCGACCAGATGATGTGAGATTCCTTGTGCACAAACGATCGCGGGTTACCCGCTCGTGGTCCAGATTGTACAGCGCCGTGAATGTTGTATTGCTTGGTGCCAGGGATGGTGGAGAAGTGCATGTGATTCTTGGTTGGCGGCGGGTCAAGTTGGGAAGGAGGTGCGCGTTAACAAGGAGAGGCGACACCCTTCCACAAAGGGGAAGATGGAAGGTGAGAGAATCGGAACGTTAAATCACGTACGCCCCGAGTGCGGGAATCCATGCTGCCCATGATGACCCGTCTTACCAAGAATGACAGTGTGATTGTCTCGTCCAGGGCGCGAGAAGCCGTATGACGACCCCTCTATGTAAACCTTGTCCCGCTCACAGAGTTGTTCGCAACCCCCAATTAGTGGAAGGCTGGGTGAACGGTCTGCATTCCCCGCCGCGTCACGTATTGCGCAAGATTCAAGGCTGTCCAGATCGCCTTGAAGCGGACGAATGCAAGCGTGGGATTGCGAAGCAATTCCCGCCGCGCGGGGGAATTGTAGGAGGGAGGCGGAGGAGGACGAACGAGAGCCGGAGGAGGGGGTGGGGGAACGAGTGGATAAGAACTACAAGAGGGAGAGGAGGGGAAAGGAAAAAGGGAGAGCAGGATGCGGGGGAAGAGGGAGGAGGAGGAGGAGGAGGAGGAGGACGAGGAAGGAGGAGGAATTGCAAGACTGACTAGGTGTATGGACCTGTCAGTGAGCGTGCAGCACTCGACTGGCCGAAGGAAAACCGGGGCTGGACCCCAACAGGGCAGAACATGCACTGGCCGAGAAAAGCAGCATCGGTGAGAACACCCAGCGCGGGCGCCTCGAAGCTCTGAGAGCAGCTCACGGGGACCCCCCGACGGAGCGGTCGCACGGCAAACCCGCCCAGCTCACGGGGCGCCAACGAGGCGCACACGGGCGGCCACGGAGCGAACTCTCGGCAAGCCCAGCAAGCGGACGGGGCGCCGACGAAGCGCCCACGGGAGGCAACATGGCGAAGCCTCGGCAAACACACCCAGACGGAGCAAAGGGAGACAGCACCGGACGACAGGGAAGCCTTCGTGGGGGCATGGGTTGGGGAACGGGAAACACGCAGCCTCTCTCCCTCCCTCCCCTCCCCTCCCCTGCCCAGCTGGTGCCGCCTGCCTGCTCTGCTTAACGTGGGCGCCTGCGATGTCACCCATATTCTGCGAGTTGCATGCCAGCCCCCGCTGACAGGCCCACTGCGTGGTCAGCGACGGAATCATCAAAAGACCATCCCCTCCCCCTCCCCTCCCTCCACAATTACACAATATGAAAATACTCTCCCACTTCCCCTGATGGCGTCCCGAAGATGGCCGACCCCCCACCGCGTACTGTTTTTTGTTCACAGGATTCCCGGGAAACGGGTTTTCGCCTGCGTTGTTTTTTCAAAATGCTGCCTGCTCTCGCTGAGGCGCCGGCCTCATTTCTGCTCCCGAATCGTTCCGAATCGTGCTCCCGCTGCAGCGTGGGCCTCATTTTCGGATCGGTGTTTGGCCTCCGTCGTTCAGGATGGCGTTCTCGCCCCAGCGCGGGCCTCTTTCTCGCGCGCCCATCCGCCCGCCACCACCGCGCCGCACCACCACCACCACCACCACCACCACCACCACCACCACCACAACCACCACCAGCACCAGCACCAGCACCACCACCACCAGCACCACCACCACCACCACCACGCACACACGCACGCACGCACGCACGCGCACCACCACCCACTAGGCACGCGCGCGCGGAGCCACAGGTCCGCTACGACACGCGTCCGCGGATAGAGAAAATCAGCGCCATGGTAAGGGGTGGGAGGGAGGGGTAGGACGTCAGATATGACGCGAGCGCACCTAGCTTGTCCCCACACCCCTCCCCTCCTCCCCCCCCCTCCCCCCCCCTTCTCTTGATCCGCGCCGGAGTCAACGAAAATCCCTCCCCCTCCCCCCTCCCCCTCCCCCTTCCATGCTCTCGGGCTTCTCGTGTGCAGCCTGTGCCAGTCCTGTTGGCCGCTGCGCTCAAGCTAACTTGCAACGAGCTAAGTATAGTCAAAGTAGCCCCCTCCCCCTCCCCCCTCGACCCGCCTGGCCCAGAGGTGGCCGTGGCCGCGCGGCCCCTCGCCCGGGCGGCGCTCCAGCAGTTCGCGTCCGCCGACTTCGCGGCGGGCCTCGCGCCGTGAGGCTCCGCGCGGAGGCCCTCCGCCACCGCCCCGGCGGCGAAGGGCCACGGCGGGGGGCGGCGGCGATGGCGGCGGCGGCGATGGCGGCGGCGGCGATGGCGGCGGCGAGGAGGCTCAGAGCTCAGAGGAGGAAGAGGTGCCCATACATCCAGGCCTCGTAGATGGGATCCGAGCAGACGGGGTCGGAGGATCGCGCCGCATCGGCGATGCGGCTCGTTGTGGAGGTCGTGTTTCCCCACGCCGACGTCGCCGATGCATCGCCAACGTCGCCGATGCATCGCCGATGCATCGGCGATGCATTGGCGATGCGGCGCGATCCTTGGACCCCATCTACTTGGACCCCATCTAGGAGGCCTCTAATACAGGCCTCGGAAGAAACTAGCGAACACCAATTCTCCCGAGGCACCATGGATCAGAGGAGCAGGGGAGCCATTGAGGGGGGGCCCTGCTTGATCAATGCCACCATGGGTCTGCACCCATTGACGTCACATTGATTTGTCAATGCCACCTAGGGTACTTAGAGATGCCCCCACCAAATGATCAACGTTGCCAGTGGGCTGAATGAGTTGCACTTCGACCGCAGTCTTCCCCGCGCCTGCCAACTTTGAGGTTAGGGGAGCGGGGGAGTGCGTACCGCTACCCTTTCCTCGTTCTCCCCTTTTTGGGCCTCTTGGCAGGTCCTCGTCGCCACCGCTGGATTCCCCTCGGAGTTCTGGTCAGAACGCACCCCAGGAGAGGTCCAGGGCATAGAGGTATCAGTGCCTTTTTTGGTTTCCCCAGAGTGGGGAAGAGGGGAGAGAGCGGAGGGACGAGCCAGGTACGTTCGCGGCACCTCTTGCCGTTCCTTCCCATGCCACCCAGATTCGATAATGTTTTCTACCTATAAGACCACCCTTCGGGTGATAAGAAGGTTCGGGGGGGAGGAACCATCGTCTCATTCAATCGTTCTCACTATCTATCTCACTATCTCACTATCCATCTCATGATCGATCTCACTATCAAACTCACTATTGGTCCCACCATCGGTCTCACTATCGATCTCACTATCGTCTTACTATCGGCCTCAAAACAGGACACCGACGTGACACCAGCGGGGCACCCGCGGGACACCCCCGGCCACCACCGGACAACTTCGGGGGGGGGCGGCCGTTTGGCCCAGTTGCCCTAGCCAGAGGAGGGGGTTCATTCTTCTCGCACGCCCACGCAGCTTCGCCTCGCCCGCACGCACGACGCGAACACGAAACCGAAACCGATTTCCTGTTGGGGGGCTCTGTTTCACTGCGATCTCACCCCCTCGCCTCCTATTCACCGAATTGAGTGTCCAATCGGACATCGATATTCGAAAGAGCGCGTTCTGTGGTCGCTTGGAGGGGGGGGGTTGGAACCGAACCCCCCCCCTTACTACTTCTCTTCTCTCCCTCTCCTCGGGCCGGCGCCTGCGTCAGCGGCGGTTGGCGGCGGTGGCGGGGACGACGATTTCCTTTTCTAGGCCGGCGCAGGCGCCTGCGGCGGCGGGTGGCGGCGGCGGGGAGCGTCGACAAGGACGGTGGTGGTGGTGGTGGTGGTGGTGGGTTGTGGTGGTGGTGGCGGTGGTAGTGGTTGTGGTGGTGGTGTGGTGGTGGTTTGTTGTGGTGGTGGTGGTTGTGGTGGTGGGTGGAGGTGGTGGTGGTTTTGTGGTGGTGGTGGTGGTGGTGGTTTGTGGTGGTGGTGTTGGGTTGTGGTGGTGGTGGTTTGGTGGTGGTGTGGTGTTGGTTTGTGGTGGTGGTGGGTTGTGGTGGTTGCGGTGGTTTGTGGAGGTGGTGCTGGTGGTGGTGGCGGTGGCGGTGGTGGTGGTGGTGTGGTGGTTTGTTGTGGTGGTGGGTTGTGCTGCTGGCAATGGTAGTGCTTGTGGTGGTGGTGGTGCTGTGGTAGATTGTGGTGGTGGTGGTAGTGGTGGTGGGTTTTTGTGGTGGTGGTGATGGTGAGTTGTGGTGGTGGTGGTGGTGTGGTGGGTTGGTGGTGGTGGTTGTGTGGTGGGCTGGTGGTGGTGGTGCTGGGTTGAGGAGGTGGTGGTGGTGGTGGTAGTGGTGGTGGTGGTGGTGGTGGTGGTGGTGGTGGTAATGGTCGCTGCATCCCCGCCGGCGCTGGCGCCAGCGCCGGCGCTGCTGGCCGCCGCCAGCGCCGGCGCCGGCGCCGGCGCCGAGGGGAGGGGGATCAACAACTGGCGAAGCGTCCTGGCTCGCCTATCGCCCTGCCAAACATTGTTCTCAGAACTGTTTGTGGTTTCCACAACATGTTTTTAGAACATTTCTGGCGGAGTCTGTCTTTTGTTTCACATCGGGTTTAAGCTCTAAGAACATCGATTTTGTTCTTAAATCATTTTTGGGTTCTAAGAACACTTGGTGGTAGGACTATAGGAATGCGGGGACGGTCGGCCCCTGCTCAAGGGGGGGGTGAATTCCCCCCGTTGGGAGGGCGGGGCGGGGGGGGGTGGTCGGGAGGGAGGGGGGTTAAGGGGGGAGGGCCCCCTCCTTTGTTTTGATCGACGGTGCCGAGTGTTTGGGGGGGGGGTCCCACCCCCCGTTTGGAAACGCGCCGCCGAATGTTCGCAAGGCAAGCGCCCGTGAAACGCGTTCTCTCCGATATTCAGATGGCATCCGCAGAGTTTGCTCCGCTGTTCACTGCACAACGGGCAGAACGACCAGACAATCCAGCAAATGCGGTGTAAGGTGGGGCAACATCTTGGTGAGTGGAGATGTCGAGTTACGCCGTGCTCGGAAAAAGGCAAACGAATGCCAACGCCCCAGCGCGCCTTCGACGCAGAGCCAAAGGGAAGCATGAGGAGGGGAAAGGAGTTGGAATCAATTGGAAGGAGGACAAGGAATGAGAGAAGGAGAAAATGTGAGCATGGAGGAGGGAAGAGGGTGGAGGAAAAGGGGGGGGGAGGGGAGGGATGGAATTAGGAGTAGTAGTGGGAGGAGGAGATTAAGTAACCTCATGCCCGTGAGAATAAACACTAGGGGATAATAAAGTTCGGGGTTCAGGGAGAGATAATAAAAATAGCCCAGCAGACCTCAGCATAATCTCGAAGTAAGAGATGATCAAGAGGAGACCAAACCGAGCACGTTTTGAGACATCCTTGGCGTTTAGTTTTCATAGAAATATCCTCAACAATGGCTTATCTCGCTGGAGACATCCTCGACACATCCCTTGTTTCGCTTGAGACATCCGCAAACTATTGCTTATGTCGCTTGAGACACAGTCAAACTATTGCTTATCTCGCTTGAGACATCCTCGAAATAATTGTGTTTTTCGCTTGTAACGAAGAAAGGAAAAATTCAAAGTTCCAAATGTATCAATTTTAATTGACAAACGCTTTATGAAAATTGATGTTTTAAGTGCTCGTGTAGGGTAGCTCATGTGCTTCATTTTCCATGGATAATCAACCCCAGGGATAAAAAAATTCAGGCGAGCGTGAGGACATATAGAAATATAAAAGAAGAAGAGGAAAGCAGAATAATAATAAGAAGAGAAGAAGAAGAGAAGAAGAAGAAGAGAAGAATAACGGAAAAATAGAAAGTTCCAAATCTATCATTTTTAATTTACAAACGCTTTATGAAAATTGATTTGTTTAAGTGCTCATGTAGGGTAGCTCATGTGCTCCCCTTTCCATGGATAATCAACACCAGAGATAAAAAAGTTCAGGCGCGCGCGGGGATACATACATATATAAAAAGGAATATAATAAAAACATATAAATAACAAGAACAACTTGCTGGTTTAGCTTGAAACATCCTTGAGACATCCTTGAAACATTGCTCGTGTCGTTTGAGTCTGCCTCCCAAAATTATTGGTTTCGCTTGACACATCCTGAAAAGTGTGATCGCTTCGCTTGATGTTGCTATATCAGCATCGCTTGATGTTGCTATCTCAACATAGCGTTTCGAGGTGATAATGAAGTTCGGCCTCAGCGCTCGCCGCCCAATTTGAATTTTGTATAGGGCGACGATAATCAACTCTAAACACTGAAGGGGGGGTCCCTTTATTATCATCGGCATGCGGTTAACGGCAGAGGAAGGGACATGAAAGAGCAGTTGTTTGGGCTTCGCCATCCGCCGACAGCCTTGTGAAGAGCAGATGTAGGTGGATTTGGTGGAGGATGAGGAGGAAGAGGAGTAGGAGGAGGGGTAACGACGGCCGAGCAGACACTTTTGTGGTTGAAGACACCGTCGTGCGACTCCTCCTCGCTGGTTGCACGAAGAGGTTTAGCTTCTATGGTTGGGCGATCAGCTCAACGTAATTACGCATAGCGGACGCACTCCACCGCCCTGTGAAAAGTGCCGAAAACGTCGTGATTTGATTCCGCCTCGAACTCCACGTGGTTGCTGGCCCCGTTGCAGGATACCTCGCTGTTCGTATGTGGTAAAACTCCACGTGGCCAGCAGGTGTGCAAGTGCATTCGCATGCTTCCCAGCGGACTCACTCTCTGCTTCCATGCGCGCGTTCGCCTTGATGCGGGCCGTGGCGCTTTCATGTTGTGCCTCTTGGGCGCACCTTGAGGCTGAGAATACGAGGAGGAGAGGGAGAAGGAGGAGGAGAAGGAGGAGGAATAGAGGGAGAAGAAGGCGACGGAGAATGAGGAGGAGAAGGAGGAGAGGGAGAAGGAGGAGGAGAAGGAGGAGGAGAAGCAGGACCAGAGTAAACGCAAGATGCATCAGCGACGCTGCAATGCACAATCCCGTCCACACTCCTCACACGCCCCTGAGGAGGGGAGGGGGAAAGAGAGAGAGAGAGAGGTAGGGTTGGGAGGGAGGAATGTGAGGAGTTGGTTTTCTGGTGTATTGGTGGACTGGTGCATGAAGGTGGAGGTACGTTTGGACCCCTCCCTGCAGCCGTCTTCGTTGGCCGAGGGGCTGCAGGGAGGTCCTCGGCCCCCTCCGGTGCCTATTGACGGCATAGTGTACTGGTGTAGTAGTGGGAGAGGGCGGGCCCCAGGCAGCCCCTATGATGGCAGCTGCGAG